ACATATCGCAATTGCTAAAAGTTTTGGCAGAATTAATAATTATAGAAGTAAATAAACAATATTTTTCTCTAAATCTTTATTTTCTTTTGTTGGAATATGTGCATTACTTTCTTTTTCATCCTCCTCCATTTGTCCAAATCCACCATCATCATCATGTTGATCCATCAGTTAGCACTTTGCATCCCCATCATCAACTTCAGTATTCATCATCTGCATCAACTTCTCAACAACCCTTCAATTTGCACACTATTCAAAAAATTTCTCAAATCAATCTTCCCTCCCCATTTATTTCTACTTCCACTTCTGATACTGCCGTTCAACAACCAAATCCGAAGATATCAAAATTACAAAAAAGTTCAAAGTCACAAAAATCATCAAAGCAACAACAACAACAACAACAACAACAACACCAACAACAACAACAACATAATCAGCATCAGCATCAGCATCATTATCAAAAAAATATTTTGGACACCGCAGTTGAAGATGCAGCACGGACACTCTTTTTATCTTCAAGATTGAATGGTGATTTTAGTTCTCTTAAAGACAATAATGATAATGATAACAAGAATAAACTTCAAGTTACCTCAACTTCTTTGCTACATGATCATTCCTTACACCACAGCAAACATAGCAACTGCTGAGAAAACGTTACTGGAAGAGAAGTAATCAAAGAATTACATAATTGGATACTGCCATAAGAAGGGATAAATAATATTAGAACCAAATCCAAAAGATTTGTGTGAGACACGGATTTTGATCTCACAATATTAAATTGTATTAAATAAATTATAAATATTATAAATTATAAATATTAAATTGTATTAAATAAAATTATAATTATTAAATAAATTCATTCATACATTCTCACCATAGACTAATAATACCATTATAACCAACTCATGTCTTCTTTTGGTTCAGTAATCCTTTACATGACATGATTTAGAACTATGAAATAGTGCAAGAATTATGATTAACGTTTATAAATGTACCTTCTAACAAATTAAATAAAATACAAAAGAATAATTTAAATAAACGTTTTACTCATCCAAATCACTAACCAGAATATTAAACAGAACGTGGGCTATTGGTATTGTTTATGGTCCCTAACAGTTGTTAAATGATTTAATTTAAGTTTATTATTTTCAGTGAACATATGATTTTCTAATTGCAAAAAAGACTTCTATAACTAACTTCCGAATTACTTCACTTTTTACTGAATTATTTTGGCAGTCTATAAAATAAAAGGTGAGAAATCAGAATATGTTGTTGTTATTGCCACAAAATTGATTTTGGTGACGCAAAGTCGAGTTAAAGTCAGATGACGGTCATTTTGTATATGAAACATATGTAGTGTAATTAATGCCGATCATTTCTTAAAATTGAATACCCGCTATGTTATGCGCACCGCTTCAATCCAATAAAAAATTTTTTCTTTATCAATTTAATCCTTGAATATAACGATAATAATAATAAATAATAGTAGCTGACATTTTCTTTCCTTTTTTAAACCGTAGATAGTACCAGAAACCATAGTGTAATATAGATTACAAATTTAATTATCGTTTATATTGTTAAAGAAATAAGAACGAATAATTCCAATAAATTTTTTTTAATTTGAATAATATATATATATATAAAATATATATATATAGTATACTTTGAAGGTTTATTTTAATATATAAAATTTTTTTTTAAAAAAAATGGATAATTTAATGAGTCGTCATCATAACTATTTAAAATCATTAAATATATTAATAATAATTTTCAATTTATTTTTATTAGATAGTTTAAATTTTTTTGTTTCTGGTCAATTATTAGATATATATGCACAAAGTTCAATAGTGTTAAATGATAAACTTTATTATTTTGGTGGAGGTACATCGAAATATTATACAAACCAAACAATTTACCTAAATTTATCCACATCATTTTCACTTAATCAAACATTACCAATAAAACTAATTGCTCCAAAGTCAGCAATACCTCTATTTAGTGGTGCATCATTAGCATTGGGAGGAGCTAATAATGACACACTTTATGTTATAGGTGGAATGCATGATGCAATGCTTGCTAAATTTTATGGTATAGTTTATTCAATAAATACAAATTCATTTGATGCATGGACTCAAATGGCCCTTGATGGACTACCACGTTTATATAAAATTGGTACAACAAGGTATACACAGGATAATAATGGAAACACATATATATTCACTGATTTTGGACCACATATATATAAATTCAATGCCAAAAAGTTGATATTTACAACCTTAACACCAAGTAATAATAATAGTTTATATACATTAAACCCATATTATTTCAATTGTCATGTGTTGATTGATGAGAATATAATTTACCTTGATCTTTATACAACTAGAGTAATATTATAATTCATTCTTTTATTATTTAATTAAAATAAAAGGAATTGGAATATTATATTTTCTAATAATACATATTATGTTTAGATATATTTATATAATATTAATCAAAATTCATGGTCTAATAATATTGTAAGTTATATAGTCATCAGTAATAATATTTTCAACTAAAAAAGATATTAATAAATATTTTTTTGCATTAGACAACAATTGGTGATATATCTTCTAGACGATATGGATATACTTCAGTATTAAGTAATCTAATTAATTTTATGATTAATTATTCAATTATATTTTTTTAATTTATATTTATTTATTTTAGCACCTGATGGAAGGATAATTATTTATGGTGGTACTATAAAATCAGACAAATTAGCAATATTGGATGTAACAAAATCTCCTTTCCAGTGGACAGTTCCAACAAATATTACTAATTATCCTGTTAATCTAATCAATGAAGAACATAGATACCCTACCTCAAATTTATATAAAAATTACATGATAATATCATTTGGTAACTTATGATGATAATTTTTAAAATTCATACATAAATATATTATTTATTTATATTAATTTTATTTATATTCAATAATAATAATAGGTTGGGTTGCCGATGCTACTTATAAAAATATTTTGTTATTAGATATTAGTGACAAGTATAATTATAGATGGCTGGACACATTTGATCCTTCAACAGCTAAAATCATTCCTAGCACTTTTAGTAAGCCAACCACCACCAGTGCTAATCCTTCAACAACTACAACAACCACCAGTGTTGCTGCTAATCAACAAACTAATGGTATACTTATTGGATCAATATTTGGTGCAATCTTCATTGTTGCTTTTATTTCTATATTTATTTTATATAGAAGAAAAAAGAAATCCAATGAGATGGTTGATAATGTTGTTAGTGACGATGAAAAAAACAGAGAATTAAATCAACAAGCTCATAATGAAAATGAAAATAAAAATAAAAATGAATTTAATACTAGTAATATTGAAATCATTTCAAACAATGATGATAGTTACAAATACACCAACAATGATAGTAATACTGAAGCTGTAGTAGATACTAGCTATAAAGACATCCTTGATAATAATAATATTGAAATTTTGAAAAACAATAATAATAATAATGTTAATGTTAATGATAATGTTCAGAATGACCAGCTAATTACAATTAATGACAATAATACTACTATTATATCCAATTCCACAAGCTCTAAAATAATTACTCATGAAGTAATTCTCCCATCTGGTGAAAAGGTCAATAAAATTTATCAATTCACAACTTGGTTTCCACATTAAATTCTAAAATATGAAATATAAAATCTTTTTTTATTTTTCTTATTTTATTTTAAATTTCAAATAATTAAAATAATTAAAATATTCTTAATTTTAAGTTATTCAAAAAACAAAATCTTATCCAATATAAAGTTTATTTTTTTTATTTTCATAATAGTTTGTTCAAGAGATTATCCTGGTCCTTCAAAGAATCAATTCATAATTTTTTCATGATGAAAATTAGTTGTTTGAATTTTATCAATGGAATAATTTCCAATGTGACATATTTAAAATTGCACACTTGACTATACCTCTTGAAGGAAAGTACCATGTGAAACTAGTTTCTCATTATGCACCATTGCGAGGAAGAACATAAAGTTATGGCCAAATTCATCAATCCTTAAATTGTAAATAAGCTCCATTGTATTTACTTGGGATTTCCTGAATGTCTCATATTTTAATATTAAATATTTATTATTCTCCCCCTTTTTTTTTTGAAAAAAAGTAAATAATGAGGAAACTTACAAACAATATTTGTCATGGAATTTGCAAAAAAAATTTTTTTAAAATTAAGGTCAGAATTATTTCTCCAAGCAACTTAAAATTGCAAACATCATTTCATGTTGATGCACTATATCTAGTCCTACAGCTTATGTATCCTTGGTCTATTCAATAAATACAAATTCATTTAATACATGGACTCCAGTGACCACTGATCCACTGATGGACAACCACATTTAAAGTATGGGGAACACAGGATAATAATGGAAACACATATATATATAAATAAAATAAATAATTTTATGTTTACTAAAAATTTACATGCACAAATTTTCAAAAATCTTCAAAAATTTTTGTGCATACATGCACAAAAATTGATCGGCGAATTTTATACACTGCTGGTATTATTGTTATTATTAAAAAAGCGTAACTAAAATTGTAACCTAATTTTAATATTTCTTACTCTGTTACGTGCAGTACATAATTATCAAGATGTTGTGGTGTTCGTTGTTACTATGACAGATGTCATTCTTGATAGATGTTTATTATTATATTTTGTGCTCGGTCTTTTTCGCATTCTCAAAACTGAAATTATGTATATTGTGAGATAGTAAAATGAGGACCGATAGAGAGGTCCCGCGTTGCCGATCCAACCAAACCAAATTACTGCGGAAGTCACGTGAAAATTAAATCATTTCTATTTTTATTTTTAACGTTATATTTTGTGAAATACTGTGCCACATATTGCGCAGTATCACACGCACAATTACTCATATTCATATTTCCATATTTATATTTCAAGAATTTGTTCAGCTGATGTAAATATTTACTTTAAATTATTAATTATTATTTGTAATGATCAGTTGACCCAAATATTTATTTTATATTAATAAGCATAGTTTATTGGACAAACTAGAGTAAAAGTCATGTTATTTGTAATACCCCAAGAGGTATATAAGGACTTGGTTTTAGACCAAGTTAGAATAATGTTCATAACTTTCTTATAATTATTGATCTAATAATTAACACTTTCCTAATAATATTGTAATAATAATTTTATCGCTAAAATAAAACACATAACATATTTTACCCTAAATAAATCTTGATCTATAAACTAATTAATAACCTACAAAAGGAGACCTTTGCTACTCCAGCAAATAACCACCATTTTAATTGTTGAAGTACATCTCAAGGGGACGCCTTTGGGATATAATTACATATATAGAACCTAGGGACCCTTTTATCTGAAAAGATAAAAGTTATATTTTTATTATTAAATTTTGACCGTAAGTCAGCGAGGAGGCTGTGTGTCAAACAATAGAATCAACTGTAAGTCAGCGAGTAGGCTGTGTGTTGAGCTATAAATAACCTATTAAATAGGAAACTTGGATTGCACGCTCGCAGTACTAGCACTTTGATGCTTTAAAAAAGAAGAAATTTTCAAAATTAGAACCAGATACTGGCCACCAGAAATGTGAACTGCGAGAAACATCCATCAAAACCACAACCTTGTCATCGAATTTCAGAAAGAAATAAGTGTGTAAGGCCTTTCTCAAATCTTCTACAACTTGATGATGACCAAAGACAAATGGGCTTACTTGCATAAAGTGGCAACACCATGCCAAGAAATCACCCATTGCACATCTACCTGCACTACTGAAATATTCTGAAACAAGTTGTGAAAGGACCCTGAGATGGTGAATTAGGGCATTTCTTCAAACATGGCAATTTTCAAAATCATGGAATGATCCACATGGACAACTTTACCTACATGAAAAAAAGAAAAATCTCACTTAATGCAATCCATGAAGACATTCCATCATGGAAAAAACATTGTATAATTTGGTCATAAAGTATCAGATTACACCATTGTAACCATCTAGATTTTAATTGTCTATGCATAATTTCGAAATAATGGGCACATGACTTGAAATTTATTTACAAAATCAACAAGATTTTAGCAGAGGATGCGCAGTGAGCTTTTTTGAACTTTATTAATAATATTTGTGTAATACAAAAAAAACCCCCCTGAGATTCTCATATTTAATATATATATTAATTGGGGCATGCTGCAACAAAACCAGACAAAGTGAACATTGGTATTACCAAGAATTTCAGGGATCAATATTGTTTGTTTAACATCACGATTGTATTACCAATGTAATGTGATCATGATATTCATCTAGACAAAAATAGTTAATATGAAGTTAATTTACATTAGGTCTACTGTGGAACCCAAAAATTACAGCACCATTAGAAGTATTTTGAAGAAGGAACAAGGTGAAAAGGTTGCCCCTTATGTATTCAAAATAAATGATACTCAACACTTGAGGCTTATCTAAAAAAAGAAAGGATTACTTATGAAATTTACCATGAAGAAAGAAAAATCATAAATGTTGGAAAAAGAAAGCATCATGATGATGCATTGCTACCTAATAAAAAGCAAAGGTCCTTAAAAGGAAAATAACTACAATTTTCTTTGATAATGGAATGAATTTCAATTTATACAGAGGGAAATTCCTTCAATTACTTTCTTATTTTCAATCAAGATCATCTTTTAGTCTCTTTAACTTCAATTTGAGCAGTTAATTGACCATTTTGTTGATCTTTTAATTTCCTGTTTTCCTCTTCTAGATGATTAATTTTTTCTTCTAAACTTTTTATCTTATCTAACAACTCTTGTTTTTGCCTTTTACCTCACTCTTCTGATTTCTCTTGAAACTTGGCTATTTCCTCTCTTTCAATTTTTAATTCTTCTTTGGTAAATGATAACTCTTTTTCTAGTTCTCTAGTTTTACTTTCTAGGCGAAAACTGAAAGATTGGGCAACTAATTCCCTGTTAGTAAGAGATTGGGTTTGCTTCTTCTTTACTTTATGACAATAACACCTACTTTTATTTCTCTTTAACCTATCACATTTCTCACATCGTGGAAGAGTGTTGTTGTCATATTCCACCTTACACTCCTTACAAATAAAAGCTATGTCAGCACTACTACCATCTTCCTCTAAAGATACCATTTCATGAGTAGCAGGTGCAGTATCAAAATTTAGATTGGTTGGATCATCATAATCTACAAAGCAATAATGACATTCTTGTTCATCCCCTTTTGCTAACTCCAAAACTCTATATTCTAGCTTCATATTTATTACTTGCTTTTCTGAACAATAAGTGTTTGGAACTTCACTTGGGATTTTTCTTTTACTTTGCTTACCAGCTGTTTGATTTTTAGTAATCTGCTCTTTTTTTGTTGTTTAGGTAAGGCTGGCAGTTCTTTATCTTTATATTTTTCAATGGTTTGTTCTTTATTTTCCAATCAATGAATATTGCTTTTTAGAACTCTTATTTCCTCCAAAAGTTCTTTTTCTCTAGCATCATGTTTTGCAATTATTTCAGCTTTTTGTCATTTTTTTCATTCCTCAGATTTTTAGTGAAACTTCATTACCTCTTCTTGCTCTACAGTGACTCAAAAAACCGGCAAAATGTTTTCAATTTTTTTATTCATTTTTTATTTTCTCAACAACCACACAACATACAATAATCTAACTAATATCATTTAAAAGCCCTGGATTCCAGTATTCTAATTATATGTTTATTGGATTACTTTATTAAACAATTTTAAAAAATATTTGATCACAAAGTTGATGTATCATTTTGCCAGTTTTTTGGCTCCTTGTGACTTACATAAAATTATCTAATTGGATTTAATAAAAAAGCTTTAATGTCATTGGTTATTATTTCTATATAATACTATTCGGAGAGAATAATTCTTGAAAAAATCAGATATGATTCTATTAATAAATTTCTCAAAAATGAAGGATTAAGGCAATATATTGATGACAAAATATGGAAAGAAATATTTAAAATGCTTCATTCAGAATACAAGTATATTGAAATTAGTAAGCTTGTCTGGGAGATTTGGACTAATGTTGTAAAGGTAGGTAATTTGGACGGTTATCAAAAATTGGCTGGATCTTTTTATAATTTATTTGATTTACTATGAATTTCATAGACTACATGTAAACAAACCAGTGATGACCAACTTAAAAAAGAAATTAAAGATTATTTAAACAATTTCAAATCAAAAAATGACAATAATGATAACCAGGAGGATCTATTTTTAGAAATTTGTAAGTTTAATTAATAATATCTTTTGTTAATATGAGACAAACATCCCTAACATGAAAAGATCATAACCAGGATCTTTCATCATTGACCCTTGAAATAAAATAATCCAACAAGCCATTATTGTCTTTATGAGATAATGACTCGATTTCAGCTTTTTTTTTCAACTTTGAGAGTTTTCGGAGTTCAGTTCTATTATATGTTATAAATTCAATTAATGATAAAATTACTTGGAATTCCAATTATAATGATAGAAATATTTTTTTTTTACCTCCAAGAACTTGGTAAATTATTATTTTTTAGTAGATCCTTGCACTTTTTTTCATCATTAATTGTCATCTCAATCAATATATTATCAGGAATGTGGTAACTAAATAAGGTTAGTAATAATAGCAGTAGCAACAGTAGTAGCATTAATAATAATAAATAACAATATAATTCAGAGATTTTTGTAACAAAAAAGGATTTTTTTACTCTTTTATATCTTTGTAATGTAACCCAATCCAATGAAAGTTTTGAATTGCTAAATTGTGATTTTCATATGATTTAGCCTAAATAGGAAAAAAAGTTTTTTTAGTTAATGCTAAACTGATTATTTAAAATGTGTTTTACCTGTGATCCATATCTATATACATTTAAAATGTTTACCCCTGATTTATATATATGGATAGAAATAAATAAATTATAATGATTTTTATAAATAATTAATCAATAATTAATTAATCCTACCATGAGGATCAAAGTCAAAAAACCCTAAAATTCTGATCACAGGTTGTAAATCATTAAACAACTTAATTAGTTGCCTGGTCGCAACATCCTTTTTCAACAAAGGTGGAAGGGAAAAAAATAAGTTGTTGTTTAGAAAGGAAGGAAATATATATTAATATGTTTGTAACTTACTGGATAACCCTTTCCCTATAAAAATATTCAAAATAAGATCCTTATTAGTTAATTCATTCATTTGTTAATTAATATATAATGTAGAGGAAAAAAACCAACTCCTTAATATTTATACAAATGTAATCATGCTAATTTGTTACTAGCATAAATAAGGAAAAAAGGAAATATTTTTGTCCCATGCTATATAATTAATATCATCCAAAAGTCTAGTCAACTAAAAAAGGTTGACTGACTAAGATTATTGATTAAGCCTCTAGTATTGACAGTACTTACGGTAATTAAAATACATGATTCTAATTTTTGAAAGATTTTGTTTGATAGCAATGTCTGAAAGGTTGCCTAGATAACAAAGTCAATTAGTTAATATTATCATTATAATTTAAGAAATAGCCACCAACCTCTTTCTCCACAACAATTATAATTTTCGCCTCACTTTCTAATTGTTTATTAGATAAAAAAATGTTAAATTAAATGATAATAATAAGTGTAAAGACATTTTTAATTTTCCAGTCAAAAAGGATATTATATTCTGTGTTATTATTATCATTATCATCAATTATTGATGGAATCAGAATTGCAGAACTTATTGAACTTTCTAAGATAATTTGATCATTTTTAAATAATTTAAAACTTCCGGAAATCAGACCTTTTGCTGAGGCAAGCTTTTCCAATTAAAATACTAATTAATTAATTATGATATTTTTTCTCATAAAATATTATTTATTTCATTGATTTTTTTTTACCAAATTCAATGATTTTCTTGTGACTTGAAAAACACGACATAGATCATCTATAGCCTTTATTATTTATTATACTTTATTGTGAATCCTACAAGAAAACAACGATTCAACAATAATACATAAATTATCAATAATCTTACCCGATCAACACGTTCTGGGTTTCCGAATAAATTTACATCACGATAATAAATACTACTATTGGTGTGTAGAAAAAAAGAAATGATGTAATGTGTAACATGACGCAGTATGTGGCGTAGTTGTTACATAAACTATTAAGATAAAAATAGAAAACGATGTCATTATCACGTGGCTGCCGCAGTAAGTTGGTTCCGATTGATCGACATGCTCGGGACTTCTTCAGTCCTTATTTACAATCTCACAGTACCAACACAAGCAGGACCTAGCTATCTATTGAAAGTGGTATTTTTTAATGTACTCATAGTGTCCCTTCCTATTGGGGGAAACATCAAAGCTTTCAGATCAGGGTTTCCAAATAAGATCAGGAGTTTGGCATTGTTTGGCTCAACAAAACCCACAATCAATCTACTGTAGTTTGTGTCAGTTGTGTATTTTTGGAGGAAAGAATCATTTAGGACAACCAAATCTGGAGGATGGGGAACCTCTTCTGGAAGTTGATTGCAATAGTGGTTCAACAAGCAAGTTAAAATGATTAGATGCGGGCTTTTTTTATTTGATAATGTTTATTATATTTGAATTATTCAGATAAATTTTAATATATTAATAAATTATTTATATATGATATATTGATAAGTACATCACTTCAACTTGTTAATGCTATGAAAAAATGAAATCATTGATTTGAAAAGGTAAGAAATAAATAATTTTGCAGTTATGTATGTATGATAACAATGATTATTAAAAATTATATATATTTATTTTTTTGTCAGAAATCATTATTTTTTATTTAGTATGCATAGTTGACATCTGAATTTCAAAATGAAAAAAAAAATTCAAAAAAGTTATTATATAATATCATTTTCAAGATATTTAAACTATAGTAGTCAGATAATAAAAATAAATAAATAATTTAATACATAACAAGTGATAAGATTTAATTTATTCAGGTAAGTCATCTGGTATAGCTAAATCAATTTGTTTAGAATCTACAAAATATTTATCACAAGAGTGAATATTGTTTGTTAATTTTAATAAAAATGAAAATAATCAATAATTGAATGTTAATAATTACCATTATTATTACCAATAATTGTTACTTTATTGGAATTCACAGGTTGGGGAAGGTTTATAAAATTTAATAATCTGCTAGTATAAACTGCATTTGGATGAATTACTGCAGTAATTGTTGAAGGATCAAATTTTATTTCATCCATTTTCTTAACCTCTTTTCTAATTGATTTTAATTCATCTAGTCCTTCTTCTGAATATTCATAAAAATCAAAATTTTTCATCATCCTATTCATATCACATGAATTAAACCAAAAATTAATAATATCATAAATTTCTTTGGCAATTGGACATTTATCTGGATTAGCATCCATGCATTTGAATGCTAGTTCAATATAGAATTTTGGTGTATTGTTTGAGAATCCAGGTCTTGCACCTTTACATATTTCCATTGCAAGATATTCATCATGTGCCAAATTATTAAATGGTTGTTGGCCAGTTGATACTACAGACATCAGAACTCCAAAACTGTATACATCTGATGCCATTGTATATGGTTTCTCTTTTAAAACTTCTGGTGCAATATATGGTAATACTCCACATATATCATTTTTGTTTGATGATGATGTTTGACTAGCTGGGAATGATAATCCTAAATCTGCAATCAATGAACTCATATTTTCTTGAAGAATATTACCACTATGAAGATCATGATGAATAATTTCTTTTTCATGAAGATCTTTTAAACCACTAATAATATAATAAAGAATTCTAAATTTGTCTTTCCATTTTAAATTTTTAAAATCTTTTGTTAAATAATTTTGAAGACTTCCACCTTCCATATATGTCATTACAAATATATATTCTTTTGTAATTGGATCTTGTGTTAATCCATAAATATGAATTATTTTTATTTTATTATGAAACTTCATATAATTTTTGAACTGAATATTAAATAAAATATTTAATTATAACAACAATAATAATATTTAAGAAATCTGAAAATAAATAGAAAAATAAAATAATTTACTTCATTAAGAAATTCATCAGAAATATTCTGTGAATTATGTAGTTTTTTTAATGCCACAGTCCTATCTTCACTAGTTCTTTTATTTCTATCAGTATATTTATTATCATTTAACCAAGTAGCTTTGGATATAGTTGCAAACCCACCTTCACCCATCTTTTCAATATTTGCTAAATCATTATAAGGAATCCATTGAAGATAATTCCAATTATCATACTTGGTTGCTTTAAGTTGTGTACTTTTAATCAACTCATCTAATGTTTCATTGCCACTAGTCCATCATTTGGTTAATAATTTTGGATTGCATGATTGACACCATGCCCATTGAGTGTTATATCTATTGCATGTTGGACATTCCCCATACTTTTCATCCCTTTCCTTTGAATATTGATCTTCATGATCTTGAAGACTTCCATCTTCCATGTATTTCATTACAATGATGTATTCTTTTGTAGCCAGATCTTGTGTTAATCCATAAATTTTATTTAAAAAATATTTACCATAAAATGTAACATAATTTCTGAACTAAAAAAATATATTGAATTTCAGAATAATATTTAAAAAATCTGAAAATAAATAAAAAAAAATAATTTACCTCATTAAGAAATTCATCAGAAATATTCTGTGAATTATGTAATTTTTTTAATACCACAGTCCTATCTTCACTAGTTCTTTTATTATTATGATTTGCTTTTTTATAACCCTTTAACCAAGTAGCTTTAGATATAGTTCCAAACCTACCTTCACCTATCTTTTCAATATTTGTTAAATTATTATAAGGAATCCATTGAAGATGATTACTATAATGATAATATGTTGCTTTAAATGTACTTTTAATCAACTCATCTAATGTTTCATTCCCACTAGTCCATCCTTCAGTTAATAGCTTTGAAATCACATGATTGACACCATGAATAATCAGTATTATATCTATTGCAAGTTGAACATTCTCCATATTTTTCATCCCTTTCCTTTGAATATTCATCATTTTTGTCAGTAGAAGTATCATCATGGGTTTATTTTCATCCAAAGTGTTTTCCATTGTGGTTTTTGTATAATTTGTCAAAAAAAATTTTTTTTAAAGAACTTTTTTTTTTCAGCCACAAATATGTATCACAAAATATATTAATATCCACTCTTTGATAAATATTTTGTAGATTCTAAACAAATTGAATTGGCTATACCAGATGACTAAGGCTCTGCATG